AGGAAGAGTGGAGGACAAGTACAAGTAGCTCCAGAGCTAATGAAGTGGTTGGGCCAAAGCCGAAAGGACGCTCAGCTGTGGACATGCCTGGAAGTGAAAAGAAAGTCCAATGCTGTAAAGAAAAATACTGCATAGGAACCTGGAATGTAAGATCTAAGAACCTTGGGAAGCTGGAGGTGGTCAAACAGGAGATGGCAAGAATAAACATCGACATCCTGGGCATCAGTGAACTAAAATGGACAGGAATGGGCGAATTCAGCTCAGATGATTATCATATCTACTACTGTGGGCAAGAATCCCGTAGAAGGAATGGAATAGCCCTCATAGTCAACAAAAGAGTGGGAAAAGCTGTAATGGGATACAATCTCAAAAATGATAGAATGATGTCAATACAAATCCAAGGCAGACCATTCAACATCACAATAATCCAAGTTTATGCACCAACCAGCATTGCTGAGGAGACTGAAATTGAACAATTCTATGAAGATTTACAACACCTTCTAGAACTGACACCAAAGAAAGATGTTCTTCTCATTCTAGGGGACCCACAGAATAACAACAATTGTTTCATAAAGTCTGGCCCTGTCTGTAAATATTTTGCAAGGCAGGACTGCTTCAAGGAAATCAAATTTTGGGACATACAGAGACATTTCTGTAGTTGAATATCAAGGAGACACCCTGTCTTCCAACCAAAGATGTAGAACTGTAACAGAATATGCTAATATTGTATATTTGTATTTGCAGATGCTAATAATTAGTATCATTAAAAATTACTATTAATTAATATTAATATTATTAATATTTAATACAAATTATTAATAAATATTGCTATTAATACTCATATTAATAGTAATTAATGCTTAGCATTTGAATATGCTAATATAAAATATGTACAGTGTGTATATATAAGCCAGCTCTTTATGCACCCAAGTTACTGGAGCCAAGTCTCTGCTCATAACATGGGTCCAATCCTGACGGGCTCAAGCAGCTGGCTCAAGGTTGACAGCCTTCCGTCCTTCCAAACCGAGTACCCAGCGGGCAATGTATAACTCACATAATTAAATTGTAAACTGCCCAGAGACTGAGTACCCAGCTCACTACGGGCGGCGGGCAATGTATAACTCGCATAATTAAATTGTAAACTGCTTAGAGAGTGTTTTAAACACTTTGAGGCAGTATATAAGCAGCACAGTTTACTGCGTTATGATTTGGCATGTGCTGTGAACAGGGTTTCAGCCATTCTGACGTAATTGTAGTTGAAAAAGCAGCTTCTCCAAATTCTGTTTGGAACCCAGCAGAAATCTGAAGTTTAGGTCCCGCCAGGAAAAGCTAGCCTGTCTGTCTAGATTTCCCCACAGAGCACTCCTTTGCTGTGTCACTCTTTCCGAACCAAGGCATGACCCAGAGTCGGTTTTTTGTAAATCGCAGACAGAGGCGATAATAATTCCCTGTCTTGTTGGTGGCTTATCTTTAAAAGCAAATGCAGTCGTACTCTCCAGAAATGAACACTGCAGCCTGCCTTTTGAATTCTCTTCTTTGGCTTTTTTTTATCTGTCTCTTGCAAGGTGCAGACTTTCTGTTTCCAGATAATAGCTTTAGGGATGGGTTATTATACCAAGCAGTCTTTGGTCCTCAGTCCTGCAAGCGAGCTCAGAGCCATCAACAGCAGCTAGGATCCATGAGGTTCACCGTGTGGAGCCCTCTCCAATCCCAGCGCTCAAAACCTGATGGGGGTCTCTAGGCAAACTTTGGGAAATTCTGACCCTCCCTCTCCCCCTGTGATTTTCCTTGGGGAAGGATCCCAGCTCTCTCCTCTGTGATTACTGAACATTTCAATTCTCTTCCCTCCCCCTTTTGATGAAAAAGAAGCTCAGCTCCTGAAGCTTTCACAGCAAACTGCAGGATGCTAAACTTAGGCATGAAGGCAAGACCTAGCGTTAGGCCACTGGAGATTTTGCTAGGTCACGTTGCAGCTGCTGGAGAGGCGACGAGTGACCCAAAGCAAAGGAGGTGGGGAGGTCATAGGATAGAGGGCAAAGCAGGATACCGATGGTCTAGCTTGGGTCGGAAAGAGCAGAACAGATGAAGGGATGGTGAGCTCATCTCCGTGAACCCATCATGGGAGCGAAGCAGGGAAAGAGAGGCTTTGTGCCTGCTTGTGAAATCTCCTGGACTGGAAGTCATTTCGGCCTTTCTCGCTAACCTTTCTGACATCCGATTTTGGCCCTGAAGGCCCAAGAATAGCATCTAAAGAAAGAGACCAACAGCACAAAAGGGCAAACTACAAAGTCTCTCTATGAAGAATCAAAAACAATGTTAGGCAATAGCTTTAGTGAAGGTAAAGCTTCCCCTTAACATTTAGACCAGTCGTGTCCGACTCTAGGGCATGGTGATCATCCCCATTTCCAAGCTGTAGAGCCAGCATTTTGTCCGTAGACAGTTTCCGTGGTCACGTGGCCAGTGTGACTAGACACGGAACACCGTCACCTTCCCACCGAGGTTTAACCCACAGCGCCACCATGTCTCACTACAATAACTTTATTAGCCCACTTAAATGATATTTTGGTGAGCCAATAAGGAGCCAAATCCAGTAGAATGTCACAACTGGAGGAGGCCGATTGAATCAATGGAATTTACAGGGGTATTAATTCACCAAATCCCATCAGTTCAATTGGGTTACTTTTGTTGTAACTTACTACTGGATTTCAGCCAGTGTGGTGTAATAGAAAGAGTGTTGGGTTAGGACTCAGGGAACCTGGGTTCAAATCCATACAGGACGACAGGAACTCACTGGAGGGGGGCTATTAATGGTAAACCATTGCTTGGACACCATACGTATAAGTAACTTGATGACCTAGAAAACAACAAAAATGTGATTTAAAAGGAGGATTTTGATGATTTTTCCTCAAGGCAGGCATTACAGAGTTTGGGGTGGAGGGAGAAATAGCCCCCCCCCCGAGTTCTGTAAGGCCATAAGCTGCCAAGTCAGAAAAAGGTTAAGGCGTCATCTATAGCTACTGAAGAGAAGGTATAAGATTTTAAGGGCGAGAAGCGTTGAGGTCATATATACTTCTCCAAATTAACTATTCAGGATGGCTTACAGAAAACGGAGTGAGAAAACATGAGCAATACTGGAAAACGAATGAATCATTCACACAGTAAAACTAATTGACAGATGAGAAAACCATTAAGAAGCATATGCCTCAAGAACAAAAGGTTTTGTATTTTCTTTCTGAAGGAGGAAAGCTATTTGGCCCTCGCCACGCTTGTTCAGATTCCCTGATCCCCACCTTCCCTTGGCTTCTAGATACTTTACAAGGTGTTCCTTCCAGTATAGTTCAGAGCTTGCTGTTAGAGAAAATGCCCCAGCTTTTTGCAATTTGGCCCAAAATCACATTTTCAGTTATGAACATCAGAACACATCCAGCTCTGCTTATGTATAGTGATTGGATCAGCCAGGCAGGAGGGGACGAGAGAAAGATTTTAATGCTTCAGATATTTCAACCATGCTTTTTAAAAGTTCTGAACAAATGGGTACAAGTTATCACACATAGGCATCTACAGAAGACCAATGCTAGAACTTAGAGATATTGTCTTTTGGTGTCTTTTGGTGTCCAGCTTCCAACCCACCTACACACCCCAGCTAGTGGCCAGGTTGGCTGGAGGATTTTGGCAATTGTAGTCCAAAAAATAATTTTTTTCTAAGATGACTCCTGGTTAAGCATGGTTCTATGTGTTTGCAGGATGTTGCACAACTGGAGATTTAACAACAACAACAGGAATTAATGCTGACCTGAAATGGGAAGAAAGAGGAGCTTGACAGAAAAGCTTATTAAAATCAAAACATTATCTAAACCAGTGGTTCCCAAACCTGGATCTCCAGATGTTCTAGGACTACAAATCCCAGAAATCCTGGCCAGCACAGCTCATGGTGAAGTTTCCTGGGAGTTTTAGTCCAAGAAATCTGGGGACCCAAGGTGGAGAACCACTGCCCTAGACCTTTGCACTGATCTGTTTATGAATCCTTGCTAAGGGTCTGAGGATGTTGAAGATGGGAGTGATCCCTGAAGATCAGCCCCATGACCAGTAAAGCACTCTCCTCATCTTAATAATAGTTTTTATTTGCCCTTTCTGAGATCACTGTATCTAAGACTAATTGCCTTCACACTCTTCTTATGGTATCATATCCAGTTCATGATTCCAGACTGGCTAGGATCACGGGAGGACGAAGCAAACTAGTGGAAGGTGAAAAAGATGTTGGCAAGATAGCAAAGAGGAAAAATAATAAGGGACATTGATTTTGAAGAAAGGCTAAAGGTTAAGAGTCAAAGTTTGGGCATGCTTTAAATATTGACATCACCACTTTTCTGGCAAAAGGCAAGCCTACGATTCATGCCACTCAACACTCAGTAGCACTTTTCAAATACAGAGGAGGGGACAGGATCTGTTATCAATCATCCCAGAGTGCAGGACACAGAATGGGGTCAAGCTACAGGAAGCCAGATTTAGGCTGAGTATCAGGGAAAAAACGCTCTTAAATGTTAGAACAGTACGACAATGGAATCAATTAGCTTGGGAGGCATTCAAGAAAAAAATGGACAACCCTATGTCAGATCTGCTTTGATTTTGATTCCTGCCTTGATCAGACGATCAATCACCCCAGAGTGTAGGACAAAGAATGGGGTCAAGCTACAGGAAGCCAGATTTAGGCTGAGTATCAGGGAAAAAACGCTCTTAAATGTTAGAACAGTACGACAATGGAATCAATTAGCTTGGGAGGCATTCAAGAAAAAAATGGACAACCCTATGTCAGATCTGCTTTGATTTTGATTCCTGCCTTGATCAGACGGTTGGACCCGATGGCCTTATAGGCCCCCTCCAACTCAATTATACGATGATTCCTTGATTCTATTAGCAAAGGAGACCCTATGCTAAATAGCTTTGGGGGTTGTCTCACAGAGTTGAACAGAGGAAGATGAAAACAAGTCGTTCTTACTTACTGAAAAATCTGCATCTTCTGCTCTCAGGTGGTCTGCGATATAATGGACACCCTCCACAGCTAACTTCAAGGCAGGTGACATCAGCAGAAGCTGCTGATCTTTCATGCCCAGAGTCTTGCTCCCTTGCCCTGCTGTGTTGGTTGACTCGGTTTTTTTACACTTGCATTTGCAATGAGTAGGCTTGGCTTTGGGCTGCTCCTCGTTGAGATGGCACCGTGGAGAGGCCGGTGACCCACTGGACTGTCCGTTGGTCTGTGAGGATTCCTCTTGCAAGTAGCAATATTGGATGCTCCTGGACCGACAGCGTATGGTTCCTTCTTCTGCCTTTCCTGGGCTGCTGTACATCTGTTGGACACTGAGTGATCTGCTTTTGGAGATTGAACTGGATTGGGAGTCTCCCAGTGGGTGACAGGGAGGTTGGAGGGACGTGCAACTAGCCCGAATGGGCTCTGCAAGCAACATGGAGTACTGGCCAGAAGGTGACTTGCAGACAGGGGGTGGTTTCACTTGGTCATCAAGATGAGCACAAAAAGAGGAAGTGGGTGATTGCTCGTTGCTTTGGGGACTATTGGAGGATGAGGTAGTGAACTTGGGTTCCACTTCAGTCTCAGACCAGAAACGTTGAGAGTTGGCTATTTTGTGCATGGATTCGATGAGCTTCTTGCAGTTGTCCTTCACGGTCGAAGGGCGCTTCATAAAGAGGAGACGTGGGACAATATCGAGGAAGACCTTCCTCACCCAATCTGGCATAGTGTGGGTGCGAGGGGAGCGGTGGTGGACATTCAGCACGAACACAGTGATGATGATGGACAAGGTGACAAAAATCATTGTGAACAGCAGGTACTCCCCAATCAAAGGGATGACCAGGGAGGTGGAGGGGATGATTTCGGTGATGAGGAGAAGGAAGACAGTTAAAGACAGAAGGACTGAGATGCAAAGAGTGATTTTCTCCCCACATTCTGAAGGCAAGTAGAAGACCAAGACAGTCAGGCAGGAGATCAGGAGACAAGGGATGATTAAGTTGATGGTGTAGAACAGAGGGAGCCGCCTGATGATGAAGGAATACGTGATGTCAGGATAGATCTCTGAGCAACACTCATACTTCTTGCTGTTATAATTGCCCACGGCATTGATGATCACCCATTCTCCACTTTCCCAATAATCCAGCTGGTCCACATGGCGGTGCATACTCTCCAGGTCTATCTTGGCCTTGTCGTAAGTCCACGAGCCAAACTTCATGGTGCAGTTTTGCTGATCAAAAGGGAAGAAGGTGACGTCGATGCTGCAGGAGCTTTTGTAGATGGCTGGAGGCATCCATTTGATACGTCCGTCGTAGAACAAGTGGGCTTTGGTGAGGTGGGTGACGGCAAAATCCCCGTCAGCACTGTGTGAGGAGAGAAGAAGAAGAAAACCAAAGATAACCATCAGAACAAGACCTTCTCAGACATAGGGTTATTACAGAGTTGTCCCAAAATGAGCTATGCTTGGATGGATCATTGCTTAATGTGAATTGTGTTTTGTGATATCCTGGGTTGCCTAGAAAATTGAAGCATGTGTTCCCACGTCCTGCATAGACACTCGCCCTGTCCTGCCCTTCTTGCAGCCTGTCCTGAGATCTTTCAAGATGGAGTGGGACAGAAGTACGCAACATAAATAAATAGTAGTATGGATATTTCTTCTCCTCTCAGTTATTTGCTTCCATACCTCTTTTAAAAAAGAGTACTTAGGACAGCACACATCACAGTATGGATATTTCTCCTCCTCTCTGTTATTTGCTTCCTCTTTAAAAAAAGAGTACTTAGGACAGCACACATCAAAAGTACTTATTTCTCTAGTGGGAGGTGTGTCAATTGGTTTCAAATAGACCTGAGATTACAATGATAAATAGAGTTATGGCTACACCTGTCACGCATTGTGTGTCTTACCCAACTACCCTCCAATGCAATTTGTAAAATGAATGAGCACAGAAAAGCCATTGAATTTTGCTCCAAATACATTTGTCCAAATAGAAACCATCTTGCATTCTTCCACTAAAACAGGGTGCACAGCTACAGTGTGTCTTGCTTTAGAGGAGAATACTGCTCCCATATGCCTCTGAGAAATACATAAATTTCTGCTCCTGCTCTAAATAGGCTGAATATCAGGGGGAAACTCCCTGTTAAGAGCAGTATAACAATGGAACCCATCACCTTGGGAGGTAGTAAGCATTCTGATGGACAGTGCGTCTTGCTCTGCAGCATCGACAGTATAACAATGGAACCAATCACCTTGGGAGGTAGTAAGCATTCTGATGCTGAAGGCATTCAAGAGAAAATGGGACCCCCATCTGTCAGATCTGCTTTGACTTGGATTCTTGTATTGAGCAGGGGGTTGGACTAGATGACCTTATAGGCCCCTTCCAGCTCCATTATTCTGAGATTGTATGATTCCAAAACAAGCAACTCTCAGGCAACTTGTTTTGTTCTAAAGATATTGTTTCTTAACAACTAGAAGTGAGGGTCCCCCTCACATACTACCAAGTATGACAATGTATGACAGTGACTCTATAACATGATCCAGGAAACTGGCCACCAGCTTCACGGAAGTTACCTACTTTACAACCCTCTCTGATTCCAGATGGTCTGTCTCCCATAGCTAAAGAGGCAAATATACAGGGACAGAAATACAGATCTGCATAAATATGGTTCGTTAGTACTTTGTAATATGACTTCACATTTAAATGCTTGAAGCATACTGATCCATTTAAACATTGTAGTCACACAGGAATCCCCTCTTCCCCATACACACATTCTAAATTCTTTGTTCTCTAAATTCTTTTTTTTTCCTCATTGATTTATTCTGTCTTGACATGTTGAAGCACCTCAGTGGGGAATTTGCAGTATTCAGAAGATTCCTTGCTTCAAAGACGAGAAGTCCTATTTTTACACTCAACAAGGTTGTGATAGTCTAGCCGGGGGAGGCGTTGACCTTTCCATTAATTTTTACACTAGCTGGGTCACACACTTCTCAGGCTGTTGCGGGGACCACTCCGACACCTTTTCACATCTTTTAATGCCTAAGATCCCAGTGGCGGGTGCATTTTTTGTTAGTAGACTGGGTTCCTTTTTCTTAGCATCACACAAAACAAATAACAACGAGATATTTGTTTAACTATCAAACTGGATTGTTATGTAGGGACTGCAGTAGAGACTAATAAGTAGGAAGGGAAAAGCAGGTTCTCAGGTATAAGCAATATGCAAAGATGTTTCCAGAGATCTCATCTTTTCAATCCTTAACTCAGGATATGTAGTATTTTGCTTAAATATAGAAAATAAGATTACCTCTGTTGGTAGCCTCTTTCACAAAGAGTTCACCCAAAATTAGGTCTCCAGTTCTACAAGATAATGCAGCTTAACCCTGACCATGTTCTTACAGAGATACCAATTGCTGCTGATGGGGTATTTGGTACACAAATACTACCTACTGGTTTTAGATTTATACACGTTGTGTGGTCTTTCCCATTAAGATTTGGTTTGGAGGTTTGTTAGCACAAAGCTGTTCAATTGCTACAGGCTGGAGATTTAATTCGTGCTCCTGTATGAAACTTGCTAATTGGGGGCAAGTCACATGGGGCCAAGAAAAATCCAAAATAAAATAAAATAAAAATCTCATGTTCAGAAATATGCCCATCTGACTAAATTTTATTATATGTTTTGGTAGTGTTTGTGAAGTCTTACACATCTATAGCAATGGCACAAAACTGGGAATTTTCACACAGATTTTTGCTTAGCACATTTTTGTTTATGGCAGTTTACACAGTAACGTAAGATTCAGCCTCAAAGAGTTCACAGATTAGATTTCAACAAGGAAGAAACTAAGAATGAGAAAGTTGAGAGGAACTGATATAATTCCATCTACTTCATTTTGTTGTTAGTTGTTTAGTTGTTAAGTTATGTCCAACTCTTCATGACCCCACAGACCAGAGCATGCCAGGCCCTTCTGTCTTCCACTGCCTCCTGGAGTTTGGTCAAATTCATGTTGGTAGGTTCAGTGACACTGTCCAACCCTCTCATCCTCTTCTCCTCTTGCCTTCACACTTTCCCAACATCAGGGTCTTTTCCAGGGAGTCTTCTCGAGAGATGGCCAAAGGACTGAAACCTCAGGATCTGTCCTTCCAGTGAGCACTCAGG